TTTATATTTTGCCTTGTTCCTGCTTTATATGCAGTGCAATGTTGCTTGGCAAATTTACTGCACTGAGGTTTAGGGTATTCCTAATATTATTTTCATTTTTACTCTTTCCTGAGTATATACAAAGCTGAAGGCATTTTATGCATGCTGATAAAATGCATAGGTAATTTCTGATCCATTTTTAATAGGGTTTTTTCCTTAATTTTTAAATAACTATATCGATAGCTTTTGATGAGACAGATAGATGAATTTCAGCTTTTGCTGTTGGTTACACTAGTGAGACAAGCTGCAAACAAATCTCCCTTGTATAACCAATAGAATTAATTCCTAAATCAAGCTTGATCCTGAATTAAAGTTTTTTCCCCAAAAAATATTGCATATCAGATATTGTTTTAATTTTCAGTTTACTTACATGAAGTGTTTCAGCTGTTTATTAAATCTGAAAGTACTGTTTGGCATGAGAATTTTGTGTGAGAAAGATTAAGTTTCCCATCTACAGTCTTTGGGACAGAGATGTGTGTGGCCGTTTTTCTCTGAACAAACTGAAATACATGTTTGATAAACATAGGTTTAGCCATGTAGAAATATTTTAGTGGTTTCCAGTTAAAATGCCATTTTAAAACTGAAATAACTCCATGTTGCCATGCGTTCTTCCTGGCATTTTAAAATAAAAGCAAATTAAAATGAAAACTTTCTTTTATTTTAGATTAAAATATGAAGTTACATTTTAAAACTACCAATCCAGTGATTTAATTCTAAACTTTGTTTAACCCATATGCTTTTAATCTTTCAGCATTACTGAACTACCCTTGAAAAGCTAACAGTTGTAGTTAAGATTTCCAATTCATCACACTGTTTGGGGAGTGTAAGGAATTAGAAGTATTATTTCAGGGCAGAGGTTAATAGCAAACTACTGGAAATGTTTTATTAGTCATGGGTAATTAATAAAGATATGTCTAAGCTCAGAATACAGAAGTGACAACAAGACCAAAATACTTGCTACATGAGTCAGAGCTTATTTTTTTCCAGAATTACCAAACCTAATCACAATTATGGAATTATTATTTGATAATTGAAAAGAACAAATGGCAGTTTTTTCCAGCACGGTGCCTTCAGCCTCAAAAAGGTTTGAGTCTCCTGATTTAGATCAAAAAATATTTTCAGGGAAGGATATTATTGAAAATAGTTGTTCATACTCTTTAAATATTAGTATGCTCTGCTTTTCAGAAATACTTTCTTGACACCATTTGCTCAGTCCGAATAAGCATGTTTGCACTGTCCATGCACAGCAGAATCCCACAAATCCCACCCTTCGTTTTTCGACCCTTTCTTCTATACATTGGAGAAGTGACGGTCTGCTAAGAATCAAGTTAATGTAAAGAGTCTTTTTGTACACTTGTACCCTAGGGGGTGCTGTGGTGCATTCTCTAGTGTTCAGGGTTTATTGAATGTTTTCTCTTGCAGTTCAGACTACCTCTTGTTTTTCTCTCTGCTGTGTGTTGTGCTTTTACTCTGAAGGCCGCTCTATTGTATTGGTGGCCTACAATCAGTTATTGTCTTTTTTGCAAATCCTGTTGTAGTAAACTTAGTTTAGTTAGTTTATTTGATTTCTGTCCCACTCCATTTCCTGCAAGCAGGACTCAGGGTGGCATACAAGATAATATACATAAAATCACAATAATAAATACATGATATTATATAGTTAAATTATATAATACATATAATACAGTTAAATTAGATGGCATTGTATGTCTGTCCTGCAAATAACTGAGGTCGCTGGAGTACAATCTATGCTCACCTCACAAGAGATTTAACGGGGGGGGGAATGAGTGGCTTGAATACAATCCCTATTCCCCTCAAAGGTCTTAAAATAGGGGAGGGGGAGATAAAGCAGGGGGGAAGAACCCAGGAGGCCACTGGTTTCTCTACAAGGACAGCCAGACTGTTTTGGGACCAGGGACTACCAGCAGGTTGGTACCACTGGAGTGTAATGCTCTCTGATGGGCATATAGGAATGTGGATACAATGGTCCCAGACTGTTTAGGGCTTTAAAAGTAAGTACTAAAACCTTGAACTTGATTCTGTACTTGATCTGGAGCCAGTGCAGCTGATACAGCACAGGTCATATGTGTGCTCTCAGAGGGGTCACCATAAGGACCCACACAGCCATATTTTGGACCAGTTGAAGTTTCCGGAGCAAAGGGCAGCCCTACATAGAGAGAGTTACAGTAGGGGACCAGCTGCTGGGCTTGGCGAAGGTATTTGAAAGCAAACTTCAAAGCATGGGATTTGATTATTTCTCAGATTTTGCCAACAGTATAAGCTCTACTGCTCATTACAGACAGAGTGTTAGATGGCATTCTGGGAGATATGTATGCTCTTCCTGTTCTCTACAGTAACCGCTTGTGTTGTGTACACATGCATCCTGCTCGTGCACATTAGCAGGTGGTAAAGGGAAACATGATTCTGTTGAACTGAATCTGACTGCCTTACTTGTGTCCACATTCAACTAAATACCCAATGTCACGGCAGTGGGAAGCAATACATTTTTAAATAAGTTTTTTAAAAATCTGATTTTGTTTCCATTGATCACATGAATCACTCACCACCTGATTTCCACAAAAACAAAAGCTGAAATGAACAATGGAAAGAGAATAATTAAAGTAGCTTTATTCCAAAGAATTACACAACACCTTCTGAAGAGAAGATGGCTTTGCATTTGTGTTCATCTCAATCTACCTGGAGTTCTATAAGATCAGTTCACCTGGAGAGAATGGCTGCTTTGGGCAATGGACTCTATGGAACTATACCATGATGAGGTCCCTCCACACCCGAAACACTGCCTGGGGACCAGCTGCTGGGCTTGGCGAAGGTATTTGAAAGCAAACTTCAAAGCATGGGATTTGATTATTTCTCAGATTTTGCCAACAGTATAAGCTCTACTGCTCATTACAGACAGAGTGTTAGATGGCATTCTGGGAGATATGTATGCTCTTCCTGTTCTCTACAGTAGCCGCTTGTGTTGTGTACACATGCATCCTGCTCGTGCACATTAGCAGGTGGTAAAGGGAAACATGATTCTGTTGAACTGAGTCTGACTGCCTTACTTGTGTCCACATTCAACTAAATACCCAATGTCACGGCAGTGGGAAGCAATACATTTTTAAATAAGTTTTTTAAAAATCTGATTTTGTTTCCATTGATCACATGAATCACTCACCACCTGATTTCCACAAAAACAAAAGCTGAAATGAACAATGGAAAGAGAATAATTAAAGTAGCTTTATTCCAAAGAATTACACAACACCTTCTGAAGAGAAGATGGCTTTGCATTTGTGTTCATCTCAATCCCACCTTTCCATGATAGACAGCAAAGTGCCTTTCAAACTGAGGACATTTTCCTAAAGTGCAGAAGGAAGGGTGTGGTGCAATACAGTGAAACTGATGAGACCTATATTTTTACTAGTCTAAATCACTTTCTTACAGGTAACCTATAGCATAATCTCAAAAGACAGATTTCAGATACTAAGATTTTCCACTATCGTCCTGTGTTCACATCTGACCTCCCACTTTATCCAGTTCCCGTGCCATCCAATATGTTGAACTACTAAACTGACAACTCTAGGTGTGTGTAAGGTATATTGTGCAAGAATTAGAGAGCATTATTTTCTATTCTTGTTCATTTCCCAGACCACTGCAGTTAGGAATTGAGATATGTCATTTACAAAAAAAACTTCATCTACTAGACACAGGAGCTTTGAACATACTTAACTTTCAGTGAATTGTGTCACTGTTCTTCAAAAGTAGTAAAATGGTTTGAACAAAACATTTTAAAGCACTATTACACATAAAGGTTTCAAGTTATTAGCTGTTTCTCAAATTTCTTTTTTCCTAATCTTTAAATAAATGGTTTTGTATTATTAAACATAAAAGAGAATTGCCAGTTGTGTATTTACTTTTGTGTCTTTCCATGTGTTCATTTTGCTCTAAATGCTATTCTCTAGTTCCCTTTGCCCTGTTTCTTTAAAACCAATAGTAAAAAAATCAAATAATGCTACAGATATCATTTAAGATGGCATGTAGGCAATTGCTAAACCGTTAAGGGGGGGGAAATCTGTGCATCTATTTTAGAAGCAAATTAGCATTTGCTACAGTTCTCCTGGGACAATCTTTTGGCATACTTTCAAGACTGTTTTTCCCTAGAACCTGCTTGGGTTAGAGCAGGTGCTTTTATAGACAGTTTGCATTCACTGTGATATGGAGATGGTGAAGTGTGGTCTTGTTCATATCATGCATAAAATCATGATTTAGAATTCCAAGTCTCTTTCAGAACCAAAAGGGTCTGAATTAGGTAAAGGTTTGTCAACAGGTTTAGGGTTGCCAGAAGAGCAAACTGAGTGCACAGAATGAAAGATTATGCCCTCCTTAGAGATGTTTGTTCAAAGGATTATTTCCTTTCAAAGGGGCATTACAGAACTTTTGTATTATATGATTTATGTAAACCTCCTTTATAGTCAAGCTAGATATTGGAAGCACTCTGTTTTTAAAAATACTGGAAATAAGGCGTAAGATACAAGCTACCAAAATATGCCTTTTATGTCCTCAGATGGATATAGGCTTGTATAAAAGAAAATCAGCAGACAGACTATAGAAGAATGGGATAAAACAGAATGCTTTCCTATGTACTTGAAACGCGTGATGCACTGCAGCCTTCTTATATTTCTGCGTCTGTTAAATATACAGCAGCTCTGTGAAACTAGGATTTTATTCCAAAAGTTGGCTCTCTCTTACTGGATTTGTAAAATACTATGACAGTGCTCATGCAGTCCTGATATAGATTTTGTGGAGAAATGGCTAATGTGCAAAAAAAAAAAAAAAAGAGGAGGCCACACATAGTTGTAAGCTTCGTCCTAATTTCATCTGTTTTGCCTCCAAGGAAGTATTTTCTGAGGGAACTGTTTTCTTAGTCAAGTTATCTAATGTTTTGGTGGTATTACCTTAAGGGATGGCTCTGTGAACTCCTACGTTGGAAAGAAGACCCTTCACCTGAGAACAGAACTCTGTGGGAGAATCTGTCAATGATCCGGAGGTTCCTCAGTCTTCCTCAGCCTGAACGAGATGCCATTTACGAACAAGAAAGCAATGCAGTTCATCACCATGGCGACAGGCCTTCCCACATTATCCATGTTCCAGCAGAACAGATTCAGGTTGGTTTACCTTGGCCAGTTCAGTAGAGGGAAAAGGTTAAATCATTTTGATTTTTTCAAAATTAATCATTATTTCTGTTTTTGCTGCATTAAATGAAACTGTCCTAATATAAATAATATTATTTTGGAATTAAGTGACATTTTGGGCAATAGGGGCATGTGCATGCAGGACACCAGAATTAATTTTAGAGTTTCCCTATCAGCTGCTTCCCCCACTCTGAAATCCCCAAATTATATTTAAAATTGGTTTGGGAGTGATGCAAGAGTTCCTGAAGTAAATTTGCAAAGTAGTATGTGTGTGCTTGAGACATTTTTTTTTCTTTTCAACAGCTCTTGCACCAGCAGTTGGGGATAAGGCTTGATACGGATGCTTTAAAAAGAATTCTGAGATGCATGCATACTTCTCACTCATGGCCATAATTTATAAATGTGAAGGAGTTAAGATGTTTAGGTGCCATATATATATATATATATTAGAGAACAGTGGATGGCCTGTAACATAAAATAAATAGTGGGAGCGATTCCAGACCCAAATTCCTCATCCCACTTATCCCCAGTTTGAAAGTTGGGATGAGTCAATGTTTGTTTGTTTTTCCTTTAGAGCCCCTCTCCCACCACCCTTGGGAAAGGAGAGCATAGAGGCGCTTTCTTACCTGGCCTGCTGACCACTGGACCTTGGCTGGGTGCTGCTCCCCAGGTGAGCTGGCACGAGTTAATGTGTCAGGGAGAGACATGGAGGGGTTTCAGAACTTGGTCCCATTGCATTCTTCCATATAAATAAGGAGCTGGGACTACTGCCTCTCTGAAAATGGATGTTGTACTGTAGACCTGGGGTCAGCCATTAACATCTTTTTCTTTCTTCTGCAAGAATAGGTAGTCCCATGAGTGTCCTTAGACTCTGAATGACTTCTATTATTATTAAAGAACTATGCACAAAGCCAAAAAACACAGAATTTTCTAGCAGCTCAAAACTGCACCTCTTGTGTATTAAAGATAAAACACATTGAACAAAACAGTCCCTTAGGATATTGGCTGCCTGAAATTTTGGATATTGGGAAACTGGTTGTCTGTACTTGAGACAGCAAGCTTTAATAAATTCACTGCATACGAATCTAAAAAGGAAACCTTACAGAGTCAAAGACATTCTAATGTTATGGTGTTTTCTCAGGTGGGTTTGCCTTACTGTGAGAAACTGTCTTGTAGATAATACTCATAGCTTCAATCCTAAGCATACTTTGTGAGTGTTAACAAATTTGAAGCAGAAAAAAGCAAGTCATACGCACAAGATTCCACCTTTATAAATGCATTAATGGCTGCAGCATGTTCTCAGCTCATTGGGTTGAATTCTGTACACTGTAACCGTAAGAGTTTGGCGCATGCAAATTCCTCGTGTTTCCCCTGTAGCCCACCTGTCAGCCTTGAGAAGACTGTGGCAAGGGGTTGGGGGTCCATGTAGAAGAAAAACACAGTTTGATATGGCACTGAAGAAGGGAAGGTGAGCCAGACTCCCTTAACTTGCTCCAGTGGACTCCCTTAAAAGAGGTGGGGGGCAATTTCAGTCCCCCCTCCTCATTGTAATTCACCGTTTTTCATTCTCACGAGTCCCCTAACTCCTGGTATTGCATTTTCAGAGGACATCAGTGACTACTGGGAGAAGGGGGTGATCAGAAACATCCACTTTTAATGCTGGTGTTGCATGGAATCACAGTAACTTCTGTGGCTGCATGACCTTTATAGAAAATACGTGGTGTTGGAAGAATGCATGTATCTACAAAGGCTGTAACTTTGTAAAGGCACACATATATTGTGTGCAGAATCACCAAGTAATTCACCTGATGTTAAATGCAGACCTCAATCCTCATGGCACTGTATTCAAATCAGCAATTTTCAGCTGTACGAATAATTTAAAATATTATACTCTGCTACAGGAAAAAAATCATAGGTGATGGTTTTGTCATTTTAAATACTGTTCTTTCATTTAAATCATACTATATGACAAGTCCAAAATTTTAAAACCAGTGGGATGTGCCATAAAAAAAATAATCTAGAAATAAAACAACAGTACATTATGGTGTGATTTAAATCTGATCTCATAACAAGAAATAGTCAGGGAAAGAAAGTGTTGTCCTTTATTTTTGTAACTGTTGCCCAATCAGTTGTCTCCTTTCTTCCCTTATCATAGTATATATAGATGACCTTTTTTTTGGCTTCTGTTTTCTCATAACAGAATGCAGAGGGCACTTCCGCTTGTATAATGGGTTTACTGCGGTTTCCACGTATTCTCCCATCCAGTATAGTCTCCCTGCCCCCATGCCACATCCCATTTCCTGACAATCCCCTAGTTGCAACAGTACTATTTTAGAGGAAGCAAAGGACTTCAGGGGAAAAGAGGAAGCAGGAAAAGGTGCTGAACTCAGTTCATGGGTCTCTGGCTCCCACAACTTGTCTGATTTCTAGCTTTGTTGGACTTTAGCAGCCCATTTCTGCCCCAAAACCATTTTCCTTATATGCATATACAAAAGGGTTCACTTTAAAACTTCAGATCCTCTTGAGTAGAAGGCCTGATGCAGACATAACACTATCAGTTACAACTTCAGAGCACCCTTTTGGTGCCCCATTACATGCTTCTCTCCAGCCCTTTTCTTCCTGCCTCCATTCCCTTTTCAGATCTAAATATGCACAGGTTTATACATTCAGTGGTGCTGCAGCTGAACCCCACCTTTCCTCTGTGCCAAGATTCTCCTGAACTTATATGTGAATACCCTATTATGCAGAGTCCAAGTTTGTGAAATTCTTCTTCCTTTCCCTCCTACTCCAGTTCGTGCTGAAGACTATGTATGTACATAGGAAAGAGGAGGGGCTCATTCTGCTGGTCCACAGCACCATTTCAATGCCTCCACCCATTTCATGTTATGAACCAGGGCTACTATTTAGCACCATATGTGTACCAATTTTTAATACTAGCTTTGGTTAACTGGAAACCAAAAGTCAAAAGCCTGGTTAAGACAAATTTGTGAACTGTAAAAACAACTATGTACAGATTATAGTAACTATATAGTTAGCTCAACAAAGGAAAGGAGAAAATCCACATGCAAGCTTGCAAGACTGTAGGGTTCTGTATCTTAGAATCATGATGATGAAATCAAGCAGTGTAGCATCTGTTTCAGTGTATATATACAGTTGCTTTAAACATTGCTGGCAGGTTTATTTATGTGCCTAAAAACCAATATTTTCTCCAGTCTGCATGCAACAAAATAATCAGTATGATTTTTCTTGCCTCTTAGCAGCAGCAGCAACAACAGCAGCAGCAGCAACAACAGCAGCAGCAGCCACCGCCACCGCCTGGTCCTAGATTACCCCCAAGGCAGCCAACAGTGGCATCACCAGCCGAATCAGAAGATGAAAATCGTCAGAAGACCCGTCCACGAACAAAAATTTCTGTGGAAGCCCTGGGCATTCTCCAGAGTTTTATACAAGACGTAGGCCTATATCCAGATGAAGAAGCAATCCAGACTCTTTCAGCTCAACTTGACCTTCCCAAGTATACCATTATCAAGTTTTTTCAGAACCAGCGATATTACGTTAAGCACCATGGAAAGCTGAAAGACAACTCAGGCTTGGAGGTAGATGTTGCAGAATATAAGGAAGAAGAGTTGCTTCAGGATTTGGAAGAGGGTGCCCAAGACAAAAATACGAACACAATTTTTTCAGTTAAATTAGAAGAAGAGTTATCGGTAGAAGGGAACACTGACATTAATACTGAATTGAAAGACTGATCAAAAAAGTATTCAACAGTGTCACTGCTATTTACTAATGAAATGAAAATTCCATCCTGTGTTCTGTCAGCAACCTCTTTATTCATTGTTTGGCCAATGAATCTTCCAAAACTTGCACAAAAGTTGAGAAAATTAAAGGATAATGCAGACTGCACTAGATATTTTACAAACTGCTTCAGAAATACAGATGAAGCATTGAGGATTGTTTCATGTTAATTTGTGTTCACTGGGTACACTGAGATGTATCCAAAAAGCATGATATCAGTGGTTTGTTGTTTTTTTTTATTCTAGAGCTTTCAGACAAGCATTACTTTTGAGATTTATTGTTTTCTTTTGGGTTTCTTTTCCCAGTTTTTACTGTAACACTCCACACTTGATCTTTGAAAGCTCACATTTATTTAAATAAAAGAAAAAGAAGAGTTTGTTACTCTTGCTCTATTGTATGTTACAAAAGAACTATAGACTGTGGGATGCAGTTTAAAGTTAACATATGCCAACAAATGCCTTGTATTATATGGCACTGCCGTAACTCAGATTTGTTTTCTTTTCAGAAAGAAGAGGTCACTGTATCTTTTTCATTCTCATTCTCATTGTTACATGATTTTTTGAAAACAAAATGTGAAACACGGTTTATCCCATTATTTATTTGTAGATCCTACAGCATCATGTTGTAATTAATTTTAGAAGTTTCCGTTAAATGTAATATTGCTTCTATTGTTACCATACAGATTTTTTTCTATTTATAAATGTATTTTGATGGGCAGTAAAACAAAGTGTCTTAAAAGTTTTAAATAGAGAAAATGTGCTTTACACAGTTGCCTATAAAAAGTGCTCTATGTTATCCAAGCAATTCATACTATAAGCTTCACTCTTATTGTTGTATGCAATTTTTACTATCATGCAAATAAGCTTAGGTAAATAAAACTAATAGATCACCTTAGAAACTTATGCAATTAATGTGAAAATAATTGATGTTTGCAATGTGTCTTCCTTTGGTTTACAATCAATTTTAAAGCTACAGCTGTATAAATTTTCTGTATAAAGGTGTATTTCTTTTTTATGAGTTTATTGCTATGAAAACACCAGTTATTTTGTTACAGCTGGCTGTTTTTATAAGTGTATCACAATTTTCTTTATGCAGAAATGTTCTGACTAGGAGTGGTTATTGACTGTAACTACACGATTAAAATTGTTTGTATGGTATGATATGGCAGGGTTTGTCTGCTTTTCTGTCTCTTTTTGGAGGGATAGCCACTCTAAGTGTATGTTGTACATTTCACTCATTGTTGTGAAGAAGGATTCTTCTGTCAGTATCCTTAGCATCACACACATTTTTCTTTTTAAAAGACCTTCAACTTGAAATCCAACAAACAAATACTTCTGAAGGAAACCCAGTTTTACTGTGAAAATCATAACCTGTCTCGTCTTGGTTTTAAAAGTTGCCTGCCCAACAGAGATAGCAGGATATTATTGAGTCAAAAGGCTATCAGGCAAAAACATATTTACAGTTCCTGGCAGTAATGCACTTATAATGGATGCAGCTGGTTTTGTTTTACAGTATTTGAATTTATGATAACACTGTTCCCTATACTAATGTATATACATTTTAAAAAACCATTAATAGTCACAAAGTAAATAGGAAAGACGTAAAATCCCCTTACTAAGCAAGATTATTTTTAATGAACATTAATAAGGATGTTGATAAAGCAATAATAATTACAGGGTTTGGGTTTCATATGGACTTCGTGTCTAGGCTTGTAAGAGTTGAAGTGGGGGACGCAAAAGAAATGCTAAAGAATTGTATATAGTCTGCTTCCTCAAAACAAAACCAATTTAAGGACCCCTGTGAATTCCATTTAAATTATCCTGTTGAAGAATTGCTCTGGCCATTATCCTTTATTGTATTTTAAGAACAATTTTTTAATGAATTTTATCACAAATTTTCATAATGTGTTACAAAACAACATATTGAAATTAGGTTTTGTTTGACAGTATCGTCCCATGTACATTGTGGTCCTGCTCTTGGATTTTCTTCTGCGGGGGAAAGAAAGCACTTGTGTTATTCAGCAGTGTAGCACAGGGTGTATATTTGCAAATTCGTATTTTTGGTTTATTTGAAGAGGCAGCAGTCCCTCTTACCAATGTTTCCTTTGCTTGCTGGTATTTTTGTTGTGAGTTGTATGCTAAGATACCAATTTACATCACAGGTACTGGAAGATATATAAATTCTGGTGGAAGTTGTAGCTGTTCCTTGCAGTTGTACAGCCTATATTTGTGCTGCAGCACAGTGTTTGCTGTGCATGTGACTGAGTTGCCATTTGAAAAGGAGGTAAACTCTGGTGTAGGAGGTCACAAATCAAATTAATTTAGCTTGCAAAGAAAGGCCCAGTAAATTCCTTCAAAAGACCAAGAAGTAAGGGGAGCAACAGGAAAATAGAAGGCTTGTTTTGCACTGCTATAAAGGAGTAAGGTAGAGCCCCGCAGGAAGGTGGAGACCTATGATCAGGAACTCTGTTAAAAAGAACTGCCAACATGCCCTGTTGGCTATTGTATGGATAAATGTGTTCCACTTGGGATAAGTTGCTGAATGAACTTCTGCAGAACATAAACTCCTTTG